CAGACCCTCACTTAGTCCTCTGCGGGCCTGACTTCCCGTTGTGGGACCAATCCTCAGAGGTTCCTCAATCAGGATGGGAGGTGGGGAGTGGGGGCTGCTCCTCCCCTGGTGGTCCCCCAGCATCTCCGACCACCCCCTCCCGAGGCCCTCTGGGAGACAGGCCGAGCCCCAGCAGGGGGTCCTGCTCTCTCTGGGAATCTGGCCTCTTCTGGTCACACTCTAGTCTTGGTCTCTCTGGCTGAGGCCACAGGACTGGGGACTGGAGGGTCAGGATGGGTGCCTCTGGCCTTTCTCCTTCTGGTCAGCCCCATCCTCTCCAGCCTCCCTCTGCCCACAGGAGCATGTCTGGGCCTCAGGGAGGAGGATGGGGATGAGGCAGGGATGGGAATGGCTCTGGCTCTTTCCATCCCTCTGGGGGTGAGAGTTCCCTCTGGGGGACCCTCCTTCTGTGACCCCATCACACCCATTACAGCCAAGATTCCCTGGGAACAGGGCCCTGAACTGACCTGAGGACACAGGGGTGGGGCTGGGGCTCCTCACCTGAGACCACCACTTCCAGGGGGTCACTGGGGTGTGACAGCAGGTAGGGGGAGGTGCTGCGTGAGCCATAGCACCTGTAGGTCCCCTGGTGGCCTGAGCTCACAGGACTGAGGGTGAAGATGGCCTGAGAGGGTGCAGACGTGTTCTGCAGATGAAGGTGCTGGGGAGGGTCCAGTAACCCCTCCTTGTGCAGGTGGAAGGTGTCAAACCAGATCTCAGACCCACACTGCAGGGTCACATTTACTCCCCTGGGCACTGAGGGTCCCGGATGGGCTGAGAGGGAGGGTTTCTTGTACATTCCTGGTGGGAGGAAGGTTGTGATGTGTAGAGAGCCACCCCTCCCCTCACGCCCTTGACCCTGAGCTCAGGGACCTTGTCCTTCTCCAGAGACTCTGTCTATGATCCCTCTCATCTCCTCTCAGTCCCCCAGGGGGTGTCTTTTATCTCCATGACCCTCACCCCCTTTCTCACACCCTCCCCAAGACCTCTGCCCAGCTCAGCCTCTGCTCCAGGCCCCTCTCTTGGACCCCATCACCCCCAGGTGACTCTGGGCCCAGAGCCCTGAGCAGACCCTCAGGACAGGGGCAGGGCTGGCTCCTCACCTGCCACCAGGATGTCCAGGGGGGCGCTGGGGGCCGACCACACAGAGGAGAGGCTGTGTCCACTGTAGCATCTGTACCGGCCCCCGTGGGTGTGGTTCACGTGGCCCAGGGGGAAGTGGGGGCTGTGCTGCCCATGGAGGCGCTGGGGGTGTGTGAGCCCCTCGTCCTTGGTCAGAGCGAATGTGTCAAAGCCGGCCTCCGCCTGGCACTGTAGGGTCAGGCTGTGTCCAGGCAGCACCAGCGAGCCTGGCTGGGCCGAGAGGGCGGGCTCCCTGTGCACACCTGGGAGGAGGGGACAGTGGTACCAGGGGACACCCCACATCGCCCACTGGGCTGCAGTGAAAGGTCTCACATGTCCTTCCCGAAGCCTCACACCCGTGGGTCGGTCCCCAAGAGGCCAGTGTCACTGACCCCATGAGCCCAGGGCTCCAATGGACACACAGCACAGTCGTTTTAGGCCCAGGAAACCGATGTGTTTGCACCTGGGTCTGTCCCTCACCTGTGACCTCGATGTGCAGAGGGTCACTGGGCTGTGACCACACGTATGGGTAGGAGCTGTTAGAACTGAAGCATCTGTAGGTTCCCCCATGAGAGGGGCTCACAGGGCCCAGAGGGAAGATGGTTTTGGCCTGCCTCATCCCAGCATGCATCCTCAGTTTTGCTTCCATGTGTCGGGGCGGGTCAGCCCCTCCCTCCTTCAGCAGATGGAAATGGCCCGATGTGATGTTAGAGCTACAGGACAGGGACACATTCCCTCCTGAGGCCACCACAGGGCTTGGCTGGGCTGAGAGGGAGGGTGCACTGCCAACTCCTGAGGGAGGAGAAAGGGTCTGTGTTAAAGGGACCGTCGCCCTCATGCCCCAGGTGTGTTCTCTGAGGGGTGGGGTCCCCTGAGGCCACACTGTACTCCCTCTGCCTGTGACCTGGAGCCCATAGTGGGGAGGGGACCCGGTGTCTCCCTTACCTGTCACCACCAGGAGCAGGGGGTCACTCAGCTCTGAGAGTATGTCCCCAGTGCTGTAATATGCACACTGGTACAGCCCTGCGTGGTGTGAGGTCGTGGCTCCAATGAGAAAACTGGCCTTGTTGCTGGAGTCCTGTGGGATCCTGGTATCCCCGGGCTCAGAGCCCCTCTCTTTATACAGAACGTAGGCACTAGCCTGCAGAGACCCCTGACACCAGATGGTCACAGAGCCCCCGTTGGTGACGATGGGGCCTGGGTCAGCCCAGATGGAGGGTTTGGGGACGACTCCTGGAAAGGAATCAGTCATGAAAGGTCAGGAGAGTTCTTTACCCTCATCACGTCATGAATGAGCCAGTGATGCCATTTAATGAGCACCGTGCGAGGCACCAAGGTCAGTGACACCCAGGGGACTGAGAGGAGCTGGCAGGGGTGTGTGGGCAGGGTCATCTCCTCTCACCTCACAGCAGTCATGCACCAGGAATTGCTGACCCCACCACCCACTTCACTGAGGCTCAGAGAGGTTAACCACGTGCCCCAGGTCACCCAGCCTGGAAGGGGCGGGGCTGTGACTGGAACCTGGGACTGAGGGTTCCCTGTGCTGTCCTCACCCTGCGCCCCAGGGGACACCAGCTCTGAGCTCTGGACTCCTCTGCAGGGGC